ATGGAAGGTAATTTCAGAGAGGAAGATGCTTGTTGTTAAGGGACCAGAAAAGGTCTCCTGCAGAAGGTAAGCTTTGAGCTGAGTCCTGACAGAACTCAAGGAAACCATGAGCCCCAACGGTAATCATCCAAATGATAAAAAGAGGTTCCCATGTATAGAAAATGACAATAAAGCCCAGAGATCTTGAGTGTCTGGTATGAAGAATAGCAAGGTTGAGGCCTTGTGTGTACACAAATCAGTTGATCAATCAGTTTCCCCATCTATAAATTGAGGGGGTTGAACTAGGAGGCTTCTTCCAACCTTAGATCTATGAGCCTATGACCAATCACCAAGTACTTATTAAGTGCCTCTTATGTGCCAGGCACTTTGCCAGAGATGTCACCATATTCCCCTTCCTTATGGACCACTCAAATGACTCTGGGAAGGGGCCAGACCACAAATCTAGGAGAAGAGGCAGAATGTAAAGTAAAGAGAGGACCAAGTTTGCTAGCAGGTGACCTTGATCAGTATCATTTCTTTATCATTTTGTAGGCACAGGAACATAAGCAAGGTACTTCCCTTCCTGATGCCTCACTTTCCTCATCTAGAAAATTGCGATATTGTATTACTTACCTATACTACCAGGGGTGATCTGGGAGAATCTTCTGATACGCCAGACTAAGACTTTCCTACAGACCAGGAGAACCTATCAGAAGCTTCCTTTATAATATCCAGAGAACATTCCATAACCCTTAAAGTTCTTTAAAAAATGTGATTATAGCATTTTGCAGCTAGAATGGACCTTGGTGAGTGTATATTCCAACCTCCACATTTTATAAATGGAGGAAGTAAAGTTTATAAGAAGACAGTGAGGAAAGAGAAGAAATTATTTACTCTGAGTCACATAGCTAATTATTGGAAGACAGGGAACTAGAAGCCAATTCTCTTGACTCCTAGCCTAGTTTCTTTCAAGGGTTGGATATAACTTTGCAAAAGTTATTGTATGCTGTCTGAAACAAGCATATATACATAAAATCTGTACATATTAAACTGATATCCTACCAAAAAAGCTAAAAAATAGGAATGTCCTCTTCGTATAGTGATCTTTCTACCTGCTCTGCTCTTCTTTTCTTCTTGGTTTCACTTATTTTTATGATAGGCAATATGGAGGCAATATGGAGCCCAAATTACATGGTTCCAGAATGGAATGTCAACATTTATTGACACAGTTCATTTTACTGAAATACAGATTGATTTTGTCATATAATACTTGGTTTGCACTTTCTATTAGGCTGCGGCATAGTAAGTTGTTCTAATAATGTTTTAATTATGAAAGAAATTCCATTAAGTTCTTTCAGCTTCATGAAACTTATCGTTCTATTCTGTAGGATGCTTTTCCACACTGACCCACCCAAAATGCTTTCTTTATAAAAGATGACTTTGAACAGCAATATTGTATCACTGGAAACATGCATGCTTTGTTACTTAACACTGTAAATTGCTTTGCCCCGTCCTTGAAATGCACCGTATAAATATTGCATTTGATCTTTAACTTACACTTCATAAATAATTTATTTCAAAAATATTCTTCCATGAGGCCATCAGTTGCTGAAGTGTTCGTTTTCTGGTAAAGCATTTATTTACTGCATGAGCTCTCAGTGCTTGGTAAAGGATTTGCTAAAAGCTGCATATGGAAGGAATTATGGTAATTGTATTAACACTGAAATCTACAACACTGAATGCTCAAATCCGCTAAAAGGTTTTGCGCCTTTATACCCCCATCTCAATGGGCACAGACTCCATTGGAAATGTTTAACACTTCATGGACAGGCTTCTGAGAGTCATTTTTTTTCCCCTAATCACTCCAAGGAACAGTAAAACATTTCTGAATGGGGCAATTGGGAGATTTTTCTAAAACTCTTACCTGATAACCAACATGTCTGAAGTATTTTCTATGTTATATCCAAAAGGAAAGAACAAGTGGAGAATATTACAGCTAAGAATATAAGGAAATCTCATACAATTAATTTTGATAAAGGAACTGATTTTAATTCACAAACGGCAATATTCTGGTTAATGATGTGTCTCCTTAGGACATCCATTAAAAGTCCATTAAGTTAACAGGAAAAATCTAATAAAGTTACCCTGGAAATTTTCTGGTAGATTAACATTATGGACTTTTAATGACTGCTTCCTGTAGGTATGGCTCTATTAGCAAGGCTAATATACTAATTAAACTTGAGCCTGAAGTGAGAAAAAACTGCTTAGAGATGCTGTACTAAGCAAAATATAGATAGATAGATTTCTCAAGTACAAGAATTAAGACTGGTACAGGCCCCAAGTATGCTAAGAATATTAGAAAATGCTACTATTCTTGCCTCCATCAGCTACCGGGCTAATAGGATGATAATAATAGGGACAGGAATAGCAACTAGAATTATGTTTCCATGGATACAGGGAACTCCCAGGTGAGAAAAAACATAATAATGGAAAAATAATAACAATAATAACATGGATTTTTGGAACTGTAAAATAGGCAACAGCTGATTTAGAAAATGTCCCAACAAGACTCCCAATCTAAGGCAGTGATAGATAGATGAACATCTACTCAACACAAAGGAGGGAAAAGATTGATAGATATTTTCACAGCAAATGATAAACAGGTAAAAAAAAATTACAGACATACTTCTGGAACAAACAGACATACTTCATGGAGCAATGGTAAGGCTGACAAAAGGCACAAACTACTGGATTTGTCACTGAGAGTGGTTTGCTTATGAAAATTTATGAAAAGCTTAGATCCCAATGTGGAACTGAAGTCCCTCCAGCAAAGGAGCAGTCAAAAAGGGTCGATCATGAGGATTTTTGTTTATAGATGTGGTACTTTATGAAAGTGGTACAAGCTTAGTACCCTGCCATCAGTAATTATAGTGAATTTGTCTAGGAAGAAGGGAAATTTGGTCTCACACAGAAACTTCAAACTCAGTTCTCACTTTCCTGGTGGCAGCCAGGTGGGGAAGAAAAACATCATGAGATAGTATGTTCCTTGAAGACAGAGATTCTTTTTGCCTTTCTTTGTACCCCCTTCCTTAGGACAATGTTTGAAATATAGTAAGAATTTAAGAAATGTTTGTTGAGTTTTAATGTGTATTGAGCTCTCAGGCAATAGCTAATAACAGCTAACATTTCTATGCCACATGAAGGCTTGCAAGTAATCTCAGAGAAGAAGGCAGTAGCAAAGGTAGGGAGGTGAGAGAGGAGGACAAGGAAAGAGTTCTTGCAGAACTGAGTCTTAAAAGAAGCCAAGGTGGCCAGGAGGTAAAAGTGAGCAGGGACGACATTCCAGGCATGAAAGACAGCCAGTGAGAATGCATGAGGCCTTGTACAAGGTACAACAAAAAAGCCAAAGTCAATGGCTCTCAGAGTACATGGGGGGAGTGAAATGTAAGAAGAGGGGAAGGGTAGGAAGAGGAAGGGTAGGAAAAGTTCCAAAAGACAGAGGAGTTTCTTTTTGAACATGGAGGTAATAGGAAGACACTGGAATTTATTGAGTAGGGGGCAGTGGATGACACGGTCAGAGAGGCTTAGGAAGATCAATTGAATAGAGGATGCAGGGGAGAAGACCGAGGCAGAGAGGCTAACCACCAGGCAACTCAAGTCCAAGTGTGATATTATATTCCTCCTTTTACAGAAAGAGAGGCTGAGAGATGTTGCCCAGGTACACAAAACGGATAATAAGTGTTTGAGGTCAGATTCCAACTCTAATCATAATATTGTTCCCCTGCCTCAAAGATCATATATTCTGGTCCTATAGTCTGCTCTGTTCATTTTATAGAGAAAGATACTAAATCCTCGTGGGGCAAGGGGAGGTTTACTGAACCATAGTGATAATCTCCATCTAATTATTAGTTAATGGCAGAGCCAAGATGAGAGTCCCCAGAGTCTCAGACCGGGGCTCTTTCCACATCAGAGCCCCTTAGCTCTTTAATATGTCTGGCATATACCAATGCTTAATAAATGCTGGTTGACTTGACTTGTTGTCTTTTCTTAGTTGAGTCAATTATAAGAGCTTAACCTGAGTAATTAGACTGATTATATCATGCAAATGCCATGTGGGTTGTCTTATAATGATCCCAGGAATCTCTTATGTCAACACAGCATTGACATAGCTTGAAAGTTGATTATCTCGGTTCATGGGACCTAGAAATAGCACTCGTTGATTCCTAGAGAGGGCTCCAGGGTCAAGAGCCGGAAGGGGCCTGGAGGATAACCTAGTCCAAACTCTCATTTGACACTTGAGGAAACTGAATCACAAGGAGATTAAGTGACTAGTCTGCGGACATAAGGTAGTAAGAACCAGAGGTGAAATTTGAACTCTGGTTGTCTTATCCCGGAGCCAGTGCTTTCCCACTAAGTTGGGCCACCTCCACAAATACAATTTGGACTAGATTCCAAATCTGAGGTTCTGCATATAACCTGAATTAAACTCCTACAGAGAAGTATCTGTTATATTTTTCTGGCCTAAGTTTCTATATTTTAATAGTATGTGTATTTCCACCTATTTTTGTCATTGTTGTTGCTGTTGTTGAAGTTGTTGGCTCAGACCTGTGATTTCATCTTCACTGTGGAAAATTTCCTACCTAGAATTTCCTCCACCAATACCAACTGTCAACTATACTCATCCTAGTGAGTGTGCACTCCATCACTATAGGTCGTGATCTGCCAAAATCCTTCCAGTCTGCGCCATTCTCATTCCCACCCTAGAAGGGGGCCACCAGGGGGGTGCTGGTGTTCCCCACCTAGAGCGCTCAACTTTACAGCTGAGTTACTACTCCACATTCATTGGGGGGAGTTTCCATCACCTGATTTCCCTTATCCTAAGCCAGGAATTCCTCACATCAATGAAACCATAGGTCCAGACTAGATGAGAAAGGATAGATACACAGACATATCCACGTGTCATCCATGTATATCTATAACATGTGTTATATGTGGTACCATTTCTTTCATTTTTTTTTTACCTATTTTGCTGTAATTATCAGCCACAAAATCTTCCAAATTGATCATCTTCCAGAAACTCTCATCCCATCCACTGTCAGCAGAATAGGTCCATTTGCATACCAACGGACAAAGAGATCTAAGGAGATAATGAAATAGAGTTAGAAGTATTGACAAGCTTTCCTTGGGCTTCCCAGGGGATGCCTGATTCGAAGCTAAGCACAGTCTAAGATGGCACCTAACCCCTGGCCACATGACAGTCAAATTCTGACTGCCCAAAGCACCTCAAATAGGACTATGAAAAGGATACCAGCAGGGAGTAAGAAGACCCAGGGTCCTGGCCTATTTTGCCACTAATTCACTTTGTGACCTTGGACAAGTCACTATCCCAGTCTGAGTATGTAAAGGCTGACCTTGTACGAATAGAATCAGTAGCCAGTCTTATGAATGCCATGAATTGAGGGGTATCAGCAGGTGTTTATTCTCCCATATCTCCTTCCCTGTACTGTCTGGCATGGAGCTGCTCAGACATTCCCCTCTCTGGGTTCGAGTATTCACTGATAGAGTATAACATAGAAGGAGCAGAACCAGCACGGTGTAAGGGATTATGGAATTATAGTCCTTGGGTGAGAAGGGGCTTCCTAGGTCATCTGGTCTGGTTCTCTCATTTGACAGAGGAGGGAAGTGAGGCCCAAAGAAGTTTCATGACTTGAAAAAGCAGTGACCTGCTTGAGCTCTCCACCAAATGCCTCCAAACACCTGTAAAAAATGGCTTTAAACAAATTCTAGAGCAGAAGTTAAATGATTTGTCTAAAATAGCCATGTAAGTGTCAGGATTCAAATCCAAGACCATTGATGCTAAATTCAATGTTCTTTTCCCTATATGATGCCATCATCTCAATAAAACCAGATTTAAGGTCAGAAGCCTTAGTTCTGGTATACATTAATTATGATGCATAACTACCCTGAGTCTCAGCTTGCCCAGTAGTAAAATGGGATTAGAATTCTTGTCCTGCCTAGCTCACTGTATTGTTATTTAGGCAGGAAATCAATTAATCAAACGACATTTATCATATGTCACCAACACTATTCAAGGACACACAAAGACAAAAATAAAACAACTTCTGCCCTAAAGGAACTTAAACTTCACCAGGGGAAACAATATTTATGAATAAAAATCTATACAATATAGAAACTAGCCTCAGAGCTAGGAAGACCTAGGGATCAAGTCCAAGCTCCGACACATTCTGGCTGGGTGACCCTATTGGCAAGTCACTCGCCTTAGGCAACACTTTAGGATTATGAGCTGCAGAGAAGGTGCTGACCTCCACTGGAAGAGACAGTCTTCTCATTCAATGACTCCCTATGTCAATGAAATTGTAGGTCCTTACAAGGCAGTTTGGAAAGAGGCACATCTGTAGAATCCAGTCATTTTCTTGATTTCTCTTTTTTGACATCTATGAGGTCAAGGTCACTTACATGAGTAGAAGTCATACGACTGTCACCCATGGAGAGCCCATTGGTTCCACTCTTGGATCTGAGGCCTTTCATTACCTCTAACCAGAGGTAAGCATATAATAGCGCCTAACTGTCGTCGGTCATTACTATTGCTCTGTGGCTTGGCATTTGCTTGGTCTAGAAACACTTCCATATAATTTTAATCTATTTATCATGTGTCCTGAGGATATTTATCCATCCTACCTCCTTCTATAGCTTCTATAGGGTAATAGGCCCCAGGGTTCATCAATGGGAAAACATTGTCATTTCGACGCAAGTAGAGCCTGGCATCTAGGACTCCAACCCAGGGTTTTAGGTTCAAAGTGTTTTGTTTTCATTATTCCATAATATTGTTCCTTACAGCTACGTCTGCAAGTATACTATTCAGCCTGTTTTACTATATAAAGATGGAAACAATTTCTTTCCTTTTTTCCTTTAGTATATATTAAATCTATCTATTAATTCTCCACCACCTATTTCTGAAATGGATTGTGTTACAGCTTCAACCAGAAAATATTCAATATTGTTATTCTTTTCAAAGAGGTGAATTCTTTCATTAAGTCTACACCACAGATCATAAGTAACAATATTAACAATAACCAGTTTTTATATGGCATTTTAGGGCTTGCAAAATGTTTCACAGATATCATCCTATTTGATTCTATGAATAGCCCTAAGAAATGGATGCTATTATTTTCATCCTATATTACAAATGAGGAAAACTGAGTTTGAGAGACTTGGGGCAGCTAAGTAGCACAGTGGATAGAGTGCCGGGGCTGACGTCAGGAAGACTCATCTTCCTGAATTCAAATTCTGCCTCAGATACTTGCTAGCTAGTGACCCTGTGCAAGTCACTGAACCCTGTTTGCCTCAGTTCTTCATCTGTAAAATGAGCTGGAGAAGGAAATGGCAAACCATTCCAGTATCTTTGGCAAGAAAACCTCCAATGGGATCATGAAGAGTCAGACACAACTGAAATAATTGAATAACAACAACAACAACAAAGTCTGAGAGAAGTTAAGTGACCCATCCAAGGTCACATAGCTAGCAAGCATCAGAGGCAGGATTTGAACTCAGGTCATCCTGACTCCAAGCAGAGTGCTCTTGCCACTATATGACCTAGTTATCTTCACAATAAGAGTATTAGGAGAAGGGGTTAATATAGGAAAGGAGATTAATATGACTCCAGAGCTCTCAAGCTTGAGATGGCTTGAGAGGCAATCCCCAGTGCTCACAGTGACCAAGAAATCTCCCTTTCTATATAGAAAAGCAGACCAGGATAACACTTCTTGGGCACTGAAAATTTTTCTCCTCCTGCTCTACTCAACTCAGGTCAACAATATTTATTAAATGCTTTCTATGTGCCAGGCACTGTGCTAAGTGATGGTGATACAGATAAAGGCAAAAAAAGTCTCAGTTCTCAAGGAACTCACAGTCTAGTGGGGAAGACAATTTTCACATGACTATGTACAAACAAGATAAATACAGAAAAAAATTAAAGATAATGATTAGAGGGAAGGCAACCTTCAAAGTAGCTATTTCAATGTTAACTGTTATTTTTCTTTCTGAGTCATATGGTATTCTTCAGGTCAAACCAAGCAGTGTAATTCAGGAAAAGTCACTCCTCCCTTCTCTCAGCCTCAGTTTCCTCATTTGTAAAATGACGGTGGTAACCGATGATCTCTAAGGGCCCTTCAACCTCTGAATTTCTACAATGTTAGGTCAAATTTCATTGTTTGATGAGAGTTCAGCTCCATCTTCCTTTCTTGGAGCCCCACCCGTTCAAATACTCTACCAGATCGAATTTCTGAGCTATTAGGCACCTTTGTATACTGCGCGCACATAAAGGCAATACAGTTGTAAAAATCCTGACCATATAAATTGAACCCTTAAAGCTGTTTTTGGCCAGGAACAAGAAGAACTTTGGACTTGCTTACTTAGGCTTAAAGGAAAACACACCAAAACCTTACAGTTTGCAGGATTGCAGAGACCTTGGCTCTATCAGCTATTTCTCCAAAGACGGTTTTTTGTTTTTTTTTTTTGTAAAAAGCCATGATTGTGTTACTGCATTATTTATATGCAACTCACAGTATTTACATTTCAAGCCCCACCCTTTCCAGGGAAACCTTTTGTTCTCTTTCTAATGAGAGCAGAACCTGGACAGTCTCAACTGAACCAGCCAGTGAATAACAGAGATGCCTGTATAGGGGGAAGGGGAAAGAGGAATGAATTGCAGAGATATGCCTGACCGAAGCTTCCAGGCCAACACAGTCCCAGAACGGTGGTGTTTTTCCAAGCTTTACAGCAGATTGACTTAAGGAGCTGAAGACCCAACCCACAGGGAGATTCAGGGACCTGAACCCAACTTCTAACTGGATAAACCAAGAAACAAGAGGGGCCTTTGATGGTCTGTTTGGCTGAAACTGCTTCGTGGCCAGCAGCATCACTCCTGTGAAATGTCTGTGAAAGTTCAGTTTTCCTGGTATTGGTTCTGGGCTTCCTCAGGACTTGCTGACAGGCTTCTGACAGGCTGAACTAATGTAAACTATGAGATAGCACAGGGCCATATTGAGTTGCCATTTTGGGGAATGTGTGGCTGATAAAATGGTCAGATGGGACCGTGACAGTGTGGCACTGGCATGAGAGTCCTGGAAAGCAGATACAGACTAGGAGTGGGGGTCCTCGCCCCTCTGCTACCAGGCAGGCCAACGTGCTTTTTTTAAGCTGGAGCGAGAATGTCGTCTAATGGAACCTTGGGGGTATTAGCTCCTGCTGTGATCTGGCCTGAGCAACACCATGGGACTCAGAAAGAACACAGCAGCCAGCCCTGAAATATCTGCTTTAAAGTCTGCACAGCACTTTGCTGCCTCTTTAAAAAGGCTTACCACAGCCCTTTGAAGGAGTCATCAGGTTTTATTAGTCTCCTTTTACAGCTTAGGAAACTGAGGCTCAGAGACTCATTAAATCTAGGAAAATACAGCTAATAAGCTTATCTTCCTGACTTCACATCCAGCGGTCAGTCAACAAGCATTTTCTAGGTGAATACTGTGTGTCAGGCACCAGATGTGCCACAAAAAGCAAATACAAGGTTCTTGGCCTCTAGAAGTTCACATCTCAATGGGGGAATAATGTCAAATGGGCTCCCAAATAATGTAAGCTTTTGTGTTGTTCAATGATGTCTGAGAAGAAGAAAACATGTAGCACTTTCTATGTGGCAAGCACTGTGCTAAGCGTTTTACAATCATCTCATTTGATCTTTACCACAACTCAGCTAGTAAGTGTCTGAGGGCAGATTTGAACTATGGTGGTCTTTACTCCAGGCTTGGTGCTCTATCCAGTAAAAGGGGCCTTAGAACTTCCCTGGCCCAAGATCCTCTTTTTATGGATTAGAGAACGATAGACGTGAAGATGACAGGGACCCTAGAAGCGCTCTGGCCCAATCCCTTCCTTTTCCAGATGACAAAACAGAAGTCCACAGAGGTTGAGTGTCTCGTCTAAGCTCACAGAAGTAGTGACAAGATCCCAGGTCTTTGGATGTCAAATAAAGTCCTCTCTACCACATCATGATCTGACCTACTAACCTAACCCCTGCTCTATTCACTTAACAGGATTATCTTGAGAACCAAACAAAATGTGTGAACA